GCCAATATCAACTCCAACGTTACCGTCTAAGCTAAATTAAATATCAGCCTTAATGTCAATGCCAACCCCAACGCTAACGTCAATTCCAATATCACTGTCAAAGTTAAGGTCTACGTTAGCCTCAATACTATTGTCACTTCCAACTATTACTTCAACGTCAACATCAACACCAACTCCAATACTAAATACAAAGCCAATATCAACATGAAGGTGAACATCATTGCTGATGCTAACCCGAAGATATCTCAATACCGGATCGATCCAGTCTGAGGGTTTCCTGCTCAAGAAAGGGCCTCTTTTCTCGAGAGCTGGAGACGCTGAGTGACGACTTTCTGTACTGCGTTTGCGAGTGTGTCCCTTCAGTCAGTCACTGCGACGTTAAAGTAAACGTTAACGTGAAACCCAACACAAAAGCCTTCGCCGAGGCTGATGTAGGGCTACTCTGCGACCGGATCGATCCAGCCCGAGGTGTTCGTGGTCACGACGAGGTGCATAATACGGCGAGACTGGTTGAAAGTGCTGACTATTGTTCAGAGACAGATTTGCGTACCAGCCAAAAGCACTCTTGGCTTGACGACAAGAAAGGAGGACATTCGCACCGGGTGCAATAAGGGCGTTTTGACAGAGTGCATAGTTGCCTGGCGCCGGACCTAGACGGGTCGTGGCGAGCAGGTTGGCGCCCAAGTCAGTTTGTGGTTGTTAAGAGTGGTCCGCCGGTCTTGTCTCTACCAGCCGAGTTGGTATCCAGGTTGTTGTCGTGACAGAAACCACCGGCTCATGAAGGTCTCCGAGGTCGCCCGCACCTCGAGCGGTGGAGCAATCACGGCTATGCCTTCAGAATGAGTGTATGTATGCATTTCGATGTGTGCTGGTACCGATCTTTACTCGCCTAATATGATACTTGGCACATGACAAAAGTCGGCATGACAACACTGATTCTGCGAAGGCAACACCAGAAATTATTTAAAAAACAATTTTATAGTTATTTGCTTCCAAACCCATAAGGTCTGGCTCACAGGCCAACTTATTGGCTTCAAGTCATTCCTTGAATGTATGTTTTTGAGTCTTTTGACAAAGCATTAAAAAGAGTCCTATTTAGCCAAAGTCTCAATGAGCAATTTAAGTTTAATGAATACAACTTTTGATGTCATCGAATTTTATGTATCTTTGTATCCGAAACGGTTTTCTCATCCAGAAAGGAGTCGATCTCGGTCTCATTAGCACCCACAACAGGAATCGAACACAATCCACGTAACGTGTATAGGGCCCATATGTTACCGCTAGGCGTAGGCTAGGCTAAGCGAAAGTTAATGGTACCATCATGGGAAATTTGGCTATCACTCCGGCTTAACCTCATCCGACTTGTGTTGAATAGAATGCTTTTTTTCAACTATTCCGTCTCTCACAATCTCACGAAATTTGCTCGTGACCGTCAAGTTGCGACAAGTTAGCCCATTCATCACACAGTCACGGATGCCAATGGATAACAAAACGAATTGATGCCAATAACAACTGTATTCAATCTATCTGTTAAAGATGATTAACGACGGATAGTTGACTTTCCTATCACGCATATGAGCAGGCCTGACTTTCCCACTAAATTACACATAGACTTGCCTTCTCGAAGCAAGACGATGTTGACTTTAACGGAAATTTGAGGCCTACTCATAGCATTGTGTGGAAATTCTACCCAATGCTTCATCATCTTAGACAAATTAGGGTGAATAACGTTCTTATTCAAGATCGTCGGTTAGTCTCTAATAGCTGATGCTGCTTGTAGGGCAAGATTTATTGTATAGCCTCAAAGCATACTCATAGTCAATATAAGTAATATCGTTAGGTATAATTAAAAAAAACAAGTTTTTGATATAAGTACCAACGACTTAGTCACTCTAACTCACTTTAGGCTACCTACGTTCACTAAATTCTTATTCAAAAATTAATGATAGTCTCGAAACCCACATATACGGAAAATAG